AAGAAAAAAATGCACAGATAAGGCACCAAACCCCTTAAGGGTGTGCATCTAGTAAGTCAGAATTTCCACCCTTGTCTTTCTGATGCAGAGAACTAAGAAAAAGTGGAAGACAGGCACGTGGTGTTGCTGCAGGGTAGCATTTGGTTGGGTGCAATAGGCCAGGTGAACTCACCTGACATGAGGCAGGAGTAGCCTGTGCAGCTTGATATTGCTTTGCTGCTACAGCCTTCTGCCTCAGCTGGATCCAGCTGCAATTTTAGGCATAACTCAGAAATAAACAGCAGATGAGACATCTCATAGCAATATATAGCATGGCCATAGATATCTCTGAATCTATCAGTATAAGCTGGATAGGCTTACTTGTAATTCAAGGAATGCTGGAAGGAAATCCATGTAATGGGCTTTCAGGAGCAGCAATGCCCTAATAATACAGGCAGAGGAATGAATCAGTGGTGCCCATAGAAGATGTCAAGGAGATTGGAGAAGGAGGACTCCTGTTTTCAGAACATGTCCTTGCCTTACCTTGCAGAACCATCTGCCAAGGAAGGCCCACTGGATTGGAAAGCAGTCTGACCCTCACAGTGTTCACTTGGAAAGTAGAAACTCCAGCTTGGTAGAGGGCACTGGTTGGCTACAGAAAAACAAACCTGTGCAAGAGCCCCTCTTAGAAGGCCTGGGAAATCTTTCCCTCGTTTCAGCTTCCTTGTGCATTGTTTAGGGAGCATACACCAAGCATTTTACTGGGCTACAGTGGTCCTTACAGCCTTTGCAGAGTTGTTGGTCACTTTGGGCTCACAAAAATAGATCAGATCCTTAAGGCTCTGTTCCAATAGCTGGCTCTGATGACAGCTCAAAATGCCTTATAAATGAAATACAGTTAGGGCTATTTCTGTCCTGAGCTAATCTATAGGGGATTTTTAAAATATTCTTAAATATTAATAGCAACATTTCCAGAAAAGATCTAAAGTCAAGACTTCCTCATTTACCAATCATTTAGTCAAACCATCCTTCACGTTAGGTGCTATTTATGTGAAAAAGGCTAAAGGGAGAGCTTCTCAACTGAGTAAAAAATTGCAGAATTAGGATTACTAACCTTATGTGAAGTGGTTCCCTTGGGAAAAATCTTAAAAGCATCTGCTCCCAAGAAACTACTGGAAATGAGAATGGTTTTGTTTGTTTTTAAAACTTGGAATACTTCCTTTATTTTTAGATCTCTGTCAATTAATCTAGCTGCTTCAAGGATGCTGAAGGTCTTCATATAATCAAGTGAGGTTGCTATTTTTCATCCAATGCCAAGATGTCAACAACAGCTTTGATTACATGGACCTGTCAGCTTGGTTGTGTTTGCTTCATTGACAGTGTTGGTCTGATGGAGCCTTGTTCACAAATATTTAGTTCTCAGGGTTTGGCTGCCCTATTGCACAGGCACCACATAACAGAAAAGGGTTAAGAGATTATATTTTTGTAATTAAAGCCTCCTTCATAAAAATCAGGGGCTGCTCAATCTAGCATTCTAGAAAGGGTACACGTCTGATGATGTGTACAAGCTGAAACGTAATTGTCTGTTTTTGCAAGGCTGTGAAACTAAAACATGAGAGCAGGTTAACCGTGCAAGTTCAAAACCAGCTTCCATGGCAAAGTTAAGGCTCCTCTTCATTTTGTAACAAATAATTTAAGGATTTTCCCACAGAGCCTAATTGAGTCCAGTGAGAGCAAAATCAGAAAGTTCCCATTCTGAATTGCAGTGACTAGAGTTTGAAAACTTGCGGAGAAGCTATGGGAGAGGCATTATGCATTTTTCATAGAAAACATTAAAATATTAATTTCTTCTCGTGATTTAGATGAGCACTATTAAGATGTATCAGAACTGGAGCAAAAGAACTTCATTATTTAACCATGGCCTCTTCATTACACATTATTAAAAAAATTGTTCAATATTTTGGGAGGAAAAAGACTTTCATGGTTCTGGTTATTACAGTAAAAAATAAAGATCTGTTCAGCCTTGGGAGAAGAACAGAGGCTATAAGAAGACATTCTCCCTGCTTTCTTTCCCTTGTTTTCCAAAGAAGCAAGCCATCAACCTTATAATGAAGGAATTTTATTTCACACCTTCATGTGCACAGCTCCTGGGCTGGGACTGCAGTTTACTAGACTGCTCATCACAAAAATCCTCAGCAGAGTTAGAGCCTCATTCCATGAACACTGACATGCTGGGCTCTCTGTGAGCAATCCCAAAGAGGTTAGTGGGATTCCACCAGCCAAGGGAAGCTGCTGCCATGCCTGCCCCTCCAACAGGACCTAGGTTACTATATAAGGCTTCTCACAAGTACAAGATTGTGTAATACTTGTTCATTGCAATCATAATGCACTGCGTGTTGACATCTTCACAGCAAGCTGTGACCCAGAAAGGAGGGACAAGGACAACTGTGTGTACATCCCATTAAACTCAGAAGGGTGATCCAGAAAGGTCCCTGATTAATTCTGCAGGCAGCTTTTGTCTGTTCAGGGTGTTTTTAAAGAAGCGTGGTGATGCTTTTATTCCTCCTCACCAGAGCTGAAGCTTGGCTTGGCAGTCATTAGGAAACCTTTGGGTGTAAGTGGATAAGACAGCTCTAATAGGAGACATGTCATGGAAAGAGCGTGATTCATCGCTTTGAGCCGTGCACAGAGCTGAAATACTTAGTTTAATTTGGTTTTAGGTGCCAAAGTACAGATCTGTGCACCAGGACTAGGAAACAGCATTTTTTCCCTTTCACTCCTGCTGATTCTGAAACTCTTCCTCCTCTTTTCAGGAGTTTTTCCTTATGGTCTCAGGTTGACCAGATTCCAGTTGGATAATTAGGTGTCATCAGTGCTGTAGACACAATCTGCAAAGAACAGCTGGAGAACTGGAAAATACAGCCTTTCTTTAGAAATCCTTACCCACTGTCTAGGAAATGTTATAAAACATTATCCTAGATCTCCTTCCCAGATGAACATACAAGCCTTTAAATAACAACTAATGCTTTGACTTTGATTCTGCTCAGCTCCAAATTGTTAAAAATCCTAAAAGGAGAGGACTCATAGAAAGATGTGCAGTATAGCCAGTTCTTTCCACTGCTGTTTTACACATTTTTCAGGATTCATTAAGTTGCAGCACAGTGGTCATATATGTGGCAAGGAAAGCGTAGTGGTGGTGTTTCCTATATAAAGTACATTTAAGCATGAGGGAACACTATGTTGCTAAGAAAACAACTTAGGCAACATCCACTGCTCTCCCCTCCTCCACTGAATGACTCTTTTAATAATAAAAGGGAATCTAGTTGGTCACGCATGATTTACCTTTGGTAAATTCATGCTGGCATCTCTGAATCACCAGCCTTTATGGGGCTGGAAATGGCTTAAAGCAGGATTTAGGGCACGTGGCAATAGGACAAGGGGGTTTTAAACTGGATAGGACTAGATTTAGGTTAGACATCGGGAAGAAATTCTTTCCTGGGAGTGTGGTGAGACACTGGCACAGGTTGCCCAAGGAAGCTGCCTGTGGAAGCCCCCTCCCTGGAGTGGCCAAGACCAGGTTGGGTGAGGCTTTGAGCAACCCGGTCTAGTGGGAGGGGTGTTGGAACTAGATGATTTTTAAGGTCCCTTCCAACCTAAAGCATTCTATGATTCTGTGATTCTATGATTGGCCCTACAGCTTTCCCAGGTATGGCAGTAAGGCTGACAGGCTTGCAGCCAACTGAGTCCCCTTTCTTGAGAATGAGGTTTGTATTTGCCTTTCAGACAACAGGAACCTCTCCCTGGTCACTATGACCCTTGAAGAGGATAGAAACTGGTCTTTAAATTACACTGGCCGGCTCCACCAGCACCATAAAAAGCAGCCTGACTGACCCCATATACACATCCAGTTGGCTTAAATCCTGCTTAACTCCATCTTCCTCTCTTGTGGATAATACTTCACTTCCACAGACCCTGCTATTAGGTTCACTGTCCTAAGAGGCCTGAGGTCCAGCTTCCCTGGTAAAAACTGATGCCAAAAAAAAAGGCAATGAATACATCAGTCTTTTTCTTGTTCTTTGCCCCAACATCCCCTGCTTCATTGAGCAATGGGATAATTTATCTTTTAGCCTTCTTTTTCCACCTGTTGGTTTATGGATCCCATTCCCATTACTCTGAAATCTGATTCAGACCAAAATCTTGCAATCCTCCAGTGCTTTCCAGAAAGCCCAGGAATGAATGGAAATCATTTTGCATGGATAATTCTCATCAGATATTTCATCCTCACCTTATCAGTGCCTTTTGCCCTGCTTCTCTGCAATGCTTCACGGATCTTGAGCAGTTTTCAACCAGCAGAAGGGAGGACTCATGTTACAAGGCTGATGTTTGCATCTGTTTTTATTGCTTCATATTCAAGTATCATGTTATTGTTCCAGTGGTGAAGAGGAGGTGAAGTTATTTCTGTTCTTTATGGCAATTAATATTGGAGGACTGCCTGGACAGAATTGGTCTGTTACTGTTTGTTTTTGTCCTCAGATTCCTTTGTTGGGAACTGGGCTTGGTGTGTATTAGGTCTGTATGAAATGAAAATAGTCCTAAAATTTTATCTCCAAGCATCCTGAGCCTGCTGCTGTTATCTTAGAAGGGACTGGTAAAGCCTTCTTGACTCCAACTACAGAGTTTCTTGTTCCTTCATGTTGGTTGGCTACCTCAGGGCTAATCTGCTTGTTTGTTTTTATTTTGAAAGCTTCTGCTAAAACAAACAAAGGAAAAAAAAAATAAATAGTTGGCTGCCTCTCAAACAAAGTGGATGGAGAATGTTTGCTTTGCTTGTCAAAAATTATTATGCTCCTTTTGAGGCAAAGCTCTACTACTTTTTGAGTACAGATGGAAAATTTGGCAGAGAGGTTGTGCTGATGTCATTCTATGCTTTGTACCATTCTTGAGGAAATTTGCTCAAATATATTCCTTGAACATGGATTGCCTTAGAGACTTGTCAGAGATTAACTACCAAAATCCCTGAGGATTTCTTTGCACTGAGAAGACCAGATGTTTCCATGTCTGTGGGAGGAGCTGCACTGGCTTAACCAAGACCTTGCTGCTCCTGTCTGTGCAGAATGGGTTGTAATAACAGGCAGCAGAGCTGAGAGCTGTTTCTCCAGAGCTCTCTGTGCCTACAGGCAGAACACTGGGGAAATGGGAAGGGGTCTGTGTCAGGTGTGCAAGTGCAGGGAGTAGGATGAAGGGACAGGCAGTCTAGAGATGAGAGAAGGAACACAGCTTGGGCCTCACAGGTTGACATGGCTCCTTTTGGCCACATGAGCTCTAGAGATCTCACCATTTCCATTCCAGGGGTGAACAGAAATCCCTGCAAAGGACAGTTAGAAGTTACAGATAGGCCAGTTGTTTTTTTTTCCCTCTGCTTCACAGGTGGGATTGGATGGACAGAGAGAACAAGCAGAAAGAGCTTTGTGGCTCCAGGGAGCAGGATTCCCTTCTGTTTTCCCTCTTGTGTGCAACTGGTCACTCTACTGCCCACGCTCACCCTAGCAAGGTCTCGTGAGAAAAATGGAAATGCAGCCTTTCTAAAGACCTTCTGCTGGAAGGAAGGGTTTTGGAGGTGCCTTAGAAGTGAGGGCAGGTGGGGGCCTGAGAGACACAGTATTTACACGTACAGAGGCATTATCAGGCAGTAAGATGAGGACAGACAGGCATGGTGTTTGGGGAACAAATTAATTTTAAGGAATCATGATGTGGGGAAGATACTTGTGCAGATGAGATATTCCTCACAGCATTGAGTGTGCATCTGTGCGTGTGGATACAGGATGGGGCCTTGCCTTGGGGAGAGTGATTTCCCTTCACATCAGAACTATTCCAATATCATTAAAATTTTACTTTATGGTTCTCTCTCAAAAGTGACAGGCAGTGGTGGCATAGAATGGAGGAGGTGACATGTTACAGCACAGGCAACATCTAGCAACTTGTTATAACTTGTAAAAAGTAACAAATGTAAATATAACAAGTTTTCAAAATCCATCGGTCGTGGTTTTTTCTTTTTTTAAAATGATGTTTAAACAGGCTGCATGTCCATGTGCCTGTAGAGATGCCCTCAGTACAAATTCCACTGCCTTAGCCCAAGCCCTGAGCTGGCTGCTAAGGGATGCTCTAAGTGGCCATCTCATCCAGCAGCTCCAGGACCCTTGGTGATGAAGCCCAGCCCTGTGCAAGTAGAGACCAAGATCTCCATCCCAGGCCAGCAGACATGGCTGTTGTGTTTCCATTTGCAGGTTGAACCAGTAGCAAGGCTGAGTGTGTATGCCAGAGACACACAGGTGTCTACAGAGGCTGCCACAGACAAGGTCCTGCCTTCACCAACACCCACATGTCAATCTACCAGAACTCACAGGAAATATAGTTATAGGCAAGTAAATCTTCTTTCTCCACTCTGGCAGCTCAAGATTTAAGTTCATTAGTGAAGGCACACATGGTGCTCCCTAGGTTTAAAAACACACACAGTGCACACTCATGGATCCTCGGAGGAATGGCCCTGTGGGTCCAGTACTCACCTACTAGTCCAGCTTTGTGGAAGACACAAGCCCACTCCCCCCAGCACCTGGCACATGGGTTGTGTGACCCACAGTCCTGCTCCAGCCACTAGTGCTGAGCTCCAGTTTTGCACAGTCCACATGCCCTCTTTGAGTATCCCAAATCTTTCTGTTCCTCTTTCTGTTGCCTTCTAGTATCTTACAAAGCCCAGGCTGGCCTCTCCAAAGCTGTTTGTGGAGTTTGTGGCCCACCAAGCAATGGCTGAAGTCTTTTGGTCTTTGTCATTGCCTCCATTAGCCATTATCCATCAGATTTGTGTCTGTCTGCTTTTCTTTCTCTTTCCC